TTTTCTGGATCGTGTTAAGGATAAGCTGGCATTTGTTGATAGCACCAAGGATTGGATTTCCGCCTGCATAGGGGCTACCTCTTTCCCCTGCACAGGGTCCCCTCTCCATGTAGGTGGGTCTGATGGGTGTGCCTTGCACCCTAGCCTTCCTCCTGATGTCCTGGGAGTTGGTGCTTCTGGACACACTGTGGTAGGTTCTCTACTCTGTGAACCCATGGGACAGGCTGAGCCTGGCACTTCTGGGGCAGTGGCCTAGAGTGCAGGAAGTGTGCATTGTGTCTGTACAGATGTGGAGGTCTAGGTGGGGCTGTACAGAAAGGGGCTCCATTGAACAAGGAGGACCACGCCCTTCCATCTCAGATACACTTGTAGCAATTAGGAAAGCTGCTCCTCCTCCACACCTGCCTGCCACCTGTTGGAGAAATGTCATCAGCTATACCCACATCCGTGGTCTTGGTCTGTTAAGTGGGTCAACCCTCCACCCCACACCTCTGGGATTGTGCAGTGCACAACCTGCCCCTCTGAGCCTGTCTGCTAGTGACCCCAAATGACCCCAGTCATAGAGCAAGGTGTGTCTGCTCTGGGTAGCTTAGGGGAGAGAGGCTGCCAAAGGACAGGGTAGCACCAGCTGTCAGCAGCTTAGTCTGGGTGGGCTGTGCCAACCTGCTCACCAGGTCACTGCTGTCTGCCAGAGTAAACAGTCCCCCGAAAGTGATGGTGCTCTCCCCAGCGGGTCCCCATTGGCCACGGGAGGGTGGAACCTGTACCCTGCTCTCGCTTGCCACCCTTCAGCCTCTGCTTTCTCTCTCCTCCTCTTTCCCTTTTTTCTAAACTGGAGGAGGGAGAGGGAAGAGGCTGTCTTTGATCTCAGTGGAAGAAAAAAGTCTGTTCTGTTCAGGCTTTTGGCTAACACAACAAACAGTGTTTAAAATTTAACTTTGCTTAATTAATTAGTAATTCTGTTTAATGCTGTCTGATCTCCCTCCAAAAGGTATTTTGAAGCTTGAGAAGGGAACATCAAAGGGAGCCGGGTGAAGATGGTCAAGTAACGCATTTAATCTGGCAGTTGCTGGGGGTGGAGAGCAGCCAGGTTGAGAACGTCTTTGGTGAATACTGAGCCAGACTCCTTGTGGCTCTGGCCATGATGTAAGGAGGGACAGGGAACAGCTTCCAACCGGCAAAAGCTTCCCTAACAGCCCCCAGACTCAGTTTTAAGGAAGCAAAGTTAACGTCTTCCTTCTTCCATGGCTGTTGTGTCCAGTTGGGCAGGTTGTATACCGCACAAAGGTTTCCAGTCAAATAAGTCTTAGGTGAACTCCACTCTGCACCTTGCTCATCAAGTATGTATCATGGTGGGGGTGGGGGTCTGCGGTCACCTAAAGTAGTGACCCACAAACTCTAGAAAAGGCACATAGTGCTTATCTTCAGCTTTGTAGGCTATACAGTCTCTTGGGAAACTCAGCTCTGCTATTGGGAAGAGAAAGCAGGCAGAGAAAAAGTACATATGCATGAGTGTGCTCCAATAAAACTTTATTTACAAAACCAAGCTGTAGGCCAAGCCAACTTCTAGGGTCTCGTTTCCTCGCAGTTTCTGCTTATCATCTAGGCTTACCAGGGAAATGGAAGATGTTTGCCTGCATCCTCTGTCCATCTATTCCTTATTTTTCTTCCTTCATTCTCATTGGCAGGCCCTCTTGCAGGCAGTCTGCCTTCAAGTACAACATTTTTGGAGTGTGCAAAAGCCTGTCACTCCCAGGGTTTGGCTGGAAGTGTGGATGAAAAGTAGAGAATGGACCTGGACACTGACTGAGGCCTGGCTCAACCTGTGTCTTTCTGAGCCAGGCACTGGTAATCTTTGATACTTGGGAGGCTGAGTTCAAGGCATTAAGGTTTGAATCCAGCCCAGGCAGAAAAGTCTGCAAGACTATCTCAAATTGAGCAGCAAAATGCAGGAATCTCAGAGGCATGACTCAAGTTGTAGAGCACCAGCCATGAATGGAAAAAAAAAAACCAGTATGGGCAAAACAAAACCAAAAATAGGCTCAATGACCTTTAGGCTCACCGTCTGCCTCATGCTGCCTGCCCTGCAGATGGTGGGTGGGCACCTGAGTCCCAGTTCTGACTCTGGTCTTGGGTCTGTACAGCTTTTGGTTAGTTCTCTGACATCTTTTTGCCCTGGATCAGAGGGTGAAAGGTTCCTTGGGTCCTCACCCATGTCCCCTAATGTCCCAGGCTGGATCAGTCTTCCTGCCCATTTGTGTCTAACTCAGGCTGGGAGGGTGCTGGTGGCTTCACTGAGCACCGCTGCCCCGTGGCTGGGTGGTTTTCTTGTCTGGGAGGGATAAAGACACCTATGGAGAGGACAGTCCTGGTCATGCTGGTCTTTGGGGAAAACCCATGAGGGTGGAGATGACAAGAAAGGGGGGGACAGGAGAGGACTCGAGGGCAGCGGGCTGCCGGCCCAGTGGTATCAGGGTGATCCACAGCCTCCAAGAACAGGCACAGAGGGTCCTTATCTTGGGGTTTATCAAGTGGAACATGAAAGGCAATTGAACCTGAAGGTGCTTGTCGGATAACTTTCCTTTGAACTTGCATCTGGGTTTCGATGAGCCCTGATGGCTGGCCTCTCCAGCAGGACCTCTGCAGGGGGGCAGCAGGAAGCAGCTTTGAAGGGGGAACTAGGCTTTGTTTTCCTTTTTCCTCTTCTCCTCCAACAGATGTTGCAGCCTCCGCATCAGTGGTGCCCCTTCTTCAAGGGGCACTAGTGACTAGAGGGTCATTTGGATCTGGAGAACCAGCGGGGACCCTGGCTCAGCCAGCATTTATTACTGTGTTCAGTGAGCACTTCTTCCCTTGTTGCTTTCTCCTGGCCTTCCTGTCCCCACAATGTTAGTGTGGGAACCAGCAGCCCTGGGAGGGACACGCCGTTGTGGCCCCATCTTACAGAGGGGAGGACAGATCTAGAGGCAGCCGGTGCCTTGTCCAAGGCTACTGGGACCAGCCAGGGGCAGAGTCAGAATGACAGGATTTCCAGTACCCTGTCAGTTGGGGTACTCCTGTTCTGCCTAGCTGTGCCTGCTGGAGATGCTGGAAGCTTCTAGAACTGAGTCCTGGAGAGCCCAGGAGAACCCAGATTCTGGCTTGTGAGGTAACAGGAGAACTACATGCCTTGTGCAAGGCAGCTGTGCCCAGAAGGTACCAGGTGGATTCAGGACAGGGCAGCTACTCTGCTGGACAGGTCTTAGGTGTTTGCCTAGTTGCTCTTTTGGTCCCTGGGGCTGAGGTGCCCTGGAGTGGAGCGGATGGTTGGCTTTGGGGGAGCAGGGCTAGGACTTGTGTCCGCAGTGAGGGTGAGCCCCTGTACCCTTCTGCAGGGAGTGAGGGAATGCATTGTTCGTTTTCCTCCGTTGAAGAGCTGAGACCACAGGACCTCTGGCTCTAGGGTGCTGTCTCCCTGCTGTTGGGGAAGCAGTTCCCAAGTTTGGCCCAGAGGGGAGCCGTGATGGAGCTGTGCGCCAGATCAGGCAGTTGCCAGCACCATCTCTATACACACATGGGGACCCCAAGTCTCCAGGGGTGCCACAAGGAGAGCTATAGCCAACTTCCAGGAAGGGCTGCACCCCAGGACAGGAATGGGTGAGTGGACGAAGAGGGGCTGGTCCCACCTTTTGGGGAGGTCCCCACCCTCCCTCCTAGGGTCCTGGCACGTACCTTGTTTTACCAGGCACTGACATATCAAGGAATCCCAACCACATCTTCCTGTGTAGTGGGGAGATCTCTTCCTTGTGGGGCCCTCTGCAGCCTGGTCACCCCCTGGTCAAGAGAGATGGGGAAGGTTCCTGGAGTAGAAATCCATACTCCTTTTTCTGGTGCCAGTTCTGGAGCTTGAACTCAGGGCATGGGCGCTGTCCCTGAGTTTTTGTGTTCAAGACTGGTACTCTACTACTTGAGCCACAGGCTCCACTTCAGGCTTTCTCAGTAGTTTACTGCAGGTAAGAGTCGCATAGACTTTTCTGCCAGGGCTGGCTTTAAACTTCAGTCCTCAGATCTCAGCCTCCTAAGTAGCTAGGATTACACCACCAGTGCTGTCCTACTACTTTTTGTGTACCTGCACAACAGAACAGCAAAATCACTGCCCTAGGGTTCTGGAGGACATTTAATGAGGGAAGAGCCGAAAGTATGTATATTCCAAGAAGTAGTCCCAGAAGTGTGAGACCCGTATGAGACACTCAAAACTGACAGAAAGGGCCAGAAGAGGCTTGTGGGCAGGGCCAAGACTTGATGGAACCTTAGGGCCTGGCTCTGAGATGAAGTGCTGCCCAGAGTTCCCCTCCTGGCACTTGTTGGCGGTACCCACAGCAAGGAAGTAGCATTCATAGGTCAGATTTTACATCCCCTCTCTGCAACTGGGGGACATGAAGAGCTGTGGCCTTTGGCAAAGGGACAAGGAGGACTCTGGCGAGAAGAGGCCAATTTCAAGGCCCAGGTGGGCAAGTGTGCATGCAGATGTGCACGCATGCACATGTGTGTGTGAAATATGTATGTGTTGATACACATTAATTCCTTTCATTAACCCAGCTGAGTTCAGTTCCTGTCACCCCCCCCACACACACACACAGTAATGTACCTCACATTGACTCAGGTGGGTGACAATTTTCAGGAGGCTGTGCAGAAAATAGCCACGGTCCCTCTCTGAGCTTCAGAATCTCCCCTGTTGCCCAGCACTGGTTGTGCCCCTCTGTGTGCACAGAAGGCACAGGCTGCTTGTGCGTGCTGCAGATTAGGGATGAATGGGGGTCAGAGAGGCCCATGGGGGAAACCTGTGGCCAGTGCGATGCCCTGTGGAGAGGCTCCCCGGGTTGGCCCGGCATTACCAGGGCCAGAGAGTCAGACCCATCCATGGGCAGAGCAGGGCAGCCAGGGCCCAGCACGCTGGCGTACATGTCATAGCCACTCCACACCTCCATCCCCCTTCACTTTCCCATCCACCTGCCCCACAGTGGCCCTGCCACCTGAGAAGACTGACGGCCTGGGCAGTGGAGATGAGAAGAGGATGGAGAGAGGGAGTGAAACGTGCCCAGCCTCCAAGAAGCAGCTGAAATTTGAAGTAAGTGTCCTTGCCTCACGCTGGGCTCTGGGGAGACAAGCTGCATTTCCCGTCATGGTGGCACAGTGCCAGGCACAGAGGCCCCTCACATCCCCTAGCCTCGGTGGGAGATCGCTTCTGCCTCTCTCCCTCCCCCCACCATTCCCCAGGGCTTAGTGCTGCCCCTCTCAGCTCAGTCCTGGCCTCTCTGTGAAGTAGTAGCCAGGGCATCGGGCTGGGTTCTGGGTAGGAGCCCAGGATGGCGAGTGTCTGGAGGTGGGTGCAGGGAGACAGGACTCTGGCCCAACAGTAGCTGTTCCCTCCTTGGCCTCAGTTTCCCAAAGCTGATCTGTGGCATTGATGATAGGGTGGGCAAGGTGAGGCAGAGGGCTCTGGGCAGGTCCCCCGAGCTGAACTCTGAGCACTGAACCCCCTGAGTGCAAGAGTGAGAAGTGGGAAGGATGCTCAGGGAGCCAAGCGGGTCTGAAGGCTGCTTCACACAGAGGGACCAGCAGGAGCAAAGGCCTGAGGTGGAGGTGCAATGCCCGCACACCTTGTGGGAATCAAGCTCATTGCAGCCTCCCGGGGTGGGGGTAGGGCAAGGAGACCTACATAAGACAGGTAGGGTCAGAAAGGTCACCACTGTGTATGTATGTGGAATGCATTGTCTCTTTGCATGATGCATGCACGTGCGCGATACACACAGATAGGAGTGTGCTGAACATAAGAGTTGTCGTTCGTGTGCAATGCATGTGTATAGGTACACTACTTGCAGGTAGATGTGTGGTGCACGCATGTGTGTGATGTATATTTGTGAGATGCGTGGTACATGTATGTTGCATATACGCAGGTAGGCATGAATGCATGGGTTGTATGATGCCATCGGAAGCACTTTCTGGAGGGCAGAGGAGTCCTTGGCAAGCGGCAGCGAGGCAGGCATGTCACAGCTGAGCACGTGCTGACTTTGAACTCACCTGTGCCCACCCAGAGCTGCAAAGGAACTGGTTTCACTCGCATGGCCCCATGCTGGCTGGCTTGGGCACACTCCTCCAGATCTTGCCCTCTCCTGGAGCCTGAGCCTGTGGTAGAGATGACAAGCTCCGGGGCTGGCTGCTTTGTAGCGGGAGGATAGACAGAGTGAGACAAGAAAGGACAGAATGACCTGGGGCTCCTGTTGTTAGGTTCATAGACTCTTATGGCCTCAAAGGCCTTGAGGAGAACTAGTGTCTCCCAAACAGCCTTCTCTAGAACTGTCTGTAATACTCAGCTGGCCTTTGCGTCCAGGCCTCTGGTGATGGAGCTTGCCACCTCACAGTTCAGACTGCCAGAGGTGGACCCCAGGATCTCTGTGAATAATGATAATGAACTTCCTGGGTTAACAATTACAGCAGACAGTAACAGCCAGTATCACTAGCCAGGTGCCAGGCACATGGTATAATAACTATCACTCCTCCCACTTCCTCTTAGACAAGGGTGGGGTGTGCGCTGTGTATTGGGACAATGGCAGGAAGCCAGTGAAGGGTGTCCACATGGGGCTCATGGGCAGCAGGAGCTTTATTCTGTGACATTCCCCTAAGTATGTGTTCAGATGTGTTGTGTGGATAAGTAGAGGGTGGGGATGTTCACCCCAGCTGCAGGAACTTTGAGGAGCCAAGGGCTATGGAGCAGGATATTTCATTTCCCCAGCAACCTTACAGGGTGGATAGTCGTTTCTCATCATTTATATGAGGGAAAACTGAGGCATCAAGAAAGAGCAACCTGCCCGGACTCCCACAGCTGTGGAAGACTAAGTGGGAACCATTAATTTGGGCAAACCCTGGAATCTTAGCCATGAATGCCTGTATTCTGTTGCTACCTGCTTCAGGCAGCTGACCCCAGGGGCCTTCCCGGGCCATCCACGTCACTTCCCTGTTGCCTCCCAGCAGCTTCTAGCCCTGGGTTCAGGCTTTGCTTTTTTCTTACGTTTCCTTTGTCTTTGAAGATTGGAGATTGCTGCCCCCCCGCCAGGTCCTCTGTCCCTGCATAGTCCTCTGCTCCTTCTTCCTTGGTATTGGGGAGAACAGGGGTTGTCTGCCCATGGCCTGGCCCGTGGCAGGCCTGGCTGGTGGGCTCATGCGTCACCCTTCAGCCACTGTTCCAGCTGATAAGTGACCAGCCCTCCTGTCTGTGTCCAGGAGCTACAGTGTGATGTGTCTGTGGAGGAGGACAGCCGGCAGGAATGGACCTTCACCCTGTATGACTTCGACAACAATGGCAAGGTCACTCGGGAGGTGAGTGTCTGGCTCTGTCTGCCTCCTGACAATTGCTGGGCCCTGGGCCCTCGGCACAGGGGCCTGATCTCAGGCCTGGGAGTGGCAGGGCTTGGGGGGAGGGTGTGAAGTGGGGGGACCATGGAGCCACGGGAAGGGGGAGGTAACAGAGAGGAAGGGGCAGCCTGCTTCCTGACACTTAGACTGGGCAGTGCTCTAGATGGAAGGGAACAGGTGTAGAACACAGGCCACTCCAGAACCTGCCGAGCTCCTTTCTCTGCGGTCCTGAATCTCTAAGGGTGGGGTTGAGCCACCCCAAGCCACTTTACCCCTCTATGCTGGAGCAGAGCTTTGGGGTGGGGGTGGGTATCCAAGGCCACAGGGCTCCTGCCATTGGCTGAAGCCTCATTGCTATTGCCCTTGGGGTGTGTGTGTGTGTGTGCGCACGTGTGTGTGTGTGTGTGTGTGTGTGTGTGCACGTGTGTGTGTGCTAGTACTTGGACTTGAACTCAGGATCTGGGCGCTGTCCCTTGGTTTTTTCATTCAAGGCTGGTACTCTACCATTTGAACCACAGCTCCACTCCTGGCATTATGGTGGTTAGTTGAAGAGTCTCATGGACCTTCTTACCTAAGCTGGCATTGAACTGTGCTACTCAGATCTCAACACTCTGAGTAGCTAGTATTAGCTACTCCTGGTAGACCTGCTGTGATCACAAAGCATGCCCCCAGGCCCTATGAGGTCTATGATGATGCTTGTAAGATGGCTGTCAGTAGACCTCCATCTGTCCATGATGCTCCCTCTGGCTTCCCAAGAAATGGGCATTGTGCGATGTGAAGGAGCTCTAGAGAAGGGAGGGAGGGAGCAGAAATTTTCTCTGCAGGCCTCATTAAAGCTGAGATGGCCAGGTAAGCCAGGAGTAGCCATGGAAGCCTGACACTCAAACGTGGTCTCCACAGTCGGAATCCAGCCCCCACCTTGTCTGGTCTGTTCTTCCAGGGGTCTGTTAAAAGTTACTCATTGAAGCCAGGCTACTCAGGAGTCTGAGATCTGAGGATCACAGTTCAAAGCCAGCCTGGACTAACTACTCAAAAACCAGTAGTGGAGCTGTGGCTCAAAGTGTTAGACTGCTAGCCTTGAGCAAAAGAGCTCAGGGACAGTGCCCAAGACACTGAGTTCAAGCTCTACAAGTGACAATTTTTTTCTTAAGTTATTGATATCAGTATCAGTGACTGAAGATTCACAGATGGTTTGGGGTTTGGGGCGTCTCAGAGATGATCCTCAGCCTGCAAATAAGGGCATGTCAGCTGAGCCGATTGACTGCCTGCCACTCACTCCTCCATGGGCCCCGTGGACCCTCCATGCTCACCACCATGGCAGCGTGGAGATCCCCTCTGCTGAAGGGAGGTGAAGGATGTACAAGTTCTGGGTTCATGAAGAATCGCTGGACAGATGGGACTGTGGGGTCTGTTGCACACAGAAAATACATTCCAGAAGTTTCCAGTATTACTTAAAGCAAAAAGCTGCCCCTCAGACAAATGACTTCAGCAGATACCCAGAACCAAGGGAGGACTTCCAGTCCCAGTCAGAAGCCAGATTAGAGACCCTGGTGTTTTGGTTTAGAGGGTAACTGAGGCCCAAAGAACAGATGTAGGATGTGAGGCAATCTGCATATGACATCTGTCACCCGATTGATTGCCAGGGTTGATTTAGCTGACTTGGCTGGCTAGGAGGGTGTCCCCTTCCTCACTGCTCCTTGTTTACCCCCTCCCTGCCCCCTGAAGCTGCATGCTTGGCTGAAGAGGACGACCATCCCTGATAGAGGAGGCCCTGTCTTCAGCCAAGGGTGTACGAGCAGCTAGAACCTACAAACAAACTCTCAAGCACAGTTTCTTCCTTGAGACGGTCTCAGTCAATGTGGGCTACCTTGACTGAGTCCAGCTTGGAGGCTGGACAGAGGGATCAAGGCACTGGCCCATTTGGGTCCTGGTGAAGCCTTTCCTCCCAAATGGCCTTCTCCCCACATTCCCCACATTGTGATGAGAGAGAACCTAGAGACACAACTTGCTGCCAGATTGTGTCCCCAGTAGGCCCTCTTCCTAACAGGACCCCAAGTCTATAGGTTAGAACCTCACCTCTATGAGCACATTCGGCCATAATCACCTCTCACGCCAACCACAGGGGGGTGTTGGGGATTCAGACTTCAATAAAGGAGTATAACTCAGGGGTATAACTCAGTTCACAACAGTCACACATCCGCTGTCTGTTTCCTTCTCAAAGTGCTCATCAGACCTGAGTAGATGCTGCTGCCACCTCCACCCCAATATTCTCCGGGCTCACCTCTAAGTCCTCTCTGCTGCTTTCCTGGCCAGTGCTTTCTGTGGAGTTAGGGCTAGCGCTGCCCTCGCAGGACAAGCTGAAAGCGTGAGGGTGTGGGCATCCTGGGACACCAGTGATAGATGGGAGTTGTTTGTGCCCTCAGCTGTGGATGAGGCTGCCTGGCGTGGGCTCCATGCCATCCCTAAGAGGGTCCTGGTACCCCTGCGCTTAAGTGGTTTGTAGCCACAACCCACTCTTGAGGTTTTCTTCCGCTGTTTCCTCCTTCTGCCACCTGGCCCCTTGCTTCCCCCAGCCTTGCACCTGCCATGGGTTCAGCAGTGCATAGGCAGCCAAGCCCCTTGTTGCTGTGTTAACGATGCTTTGAGCTGAGGCCCATGCAGGCACCTGCTTCCTCCCACCCAGGACATTACCAGCTTGCTGCACACCATCTATGAGGTGGTCGACTCCTCCATGAACCACTCCCCAACATCCAGCAAGACCCTGCGGGTGAAGCTGACTGTGGCCCCCGATGGGAGCCAGAGCAAGAGGAGCGTCCTTCTCAACCATGCTGGTGAGGAGCTGCTTTGTGCCCACGTGGGGCTTTGTTTGACAGGTCCTGGAGGAGCAGCACAGGGATAGGAGGGTAAGAGAAGGAAGGAAGCAACACAGGTGGAGACCCACAAAGGGACGTAGAGGTGGGAGATGGCGTGATGAGCAGCTGCAGGGAGGCGGGCTAGTGCGAGGAGCCAAGCTACAGAGTCTCAGGGAGAAGACGCTTTGTCCCCAGTATGCTTTAGTCAGCATTTGTAGAGTGTCCCCCAACTGTTCCTAGTTTAGTGCACCCTCTACTTAGCCTTAGCCAGGGGACTGTCCTATAGAGCCATAGCAGAGCTTCCATGGGCATGTTTCAAGGGCTGCACACCTCGGCAGACCCTGGCAGGGCCAGGAGCAGGCAGCTCACGGTCATTCCTTGTGCTTCAGACGTGCAGGGCACGAGGCCCCGAGCAGAGACTAAGCCTGCTGAGGAGCTGCGCAGCTGGGAGAAGAAGCATCGAGCCCCCCTCAGGTACAGTGGGCACAGGCAGAGGGGGCAGCCTGGGACCTGTGAGCATGTATTAAGCACCAGCTGGGTGCCTGCATCTGAAGGATTCCAAAGGGGCTCTCTGTAGGGGGGCAGTGGTCTCACTACACAGATTCACAAATAATGAGCTGTAGCCCTCATCTTGTCATGCTAAAACCCGTATCACCAATGTGATTTGGATGCAGCATTTGGCGGGTATCCCTGGCATGTTTCCCCGTGCACTGTTGGTGGGGTTCAGGCAGTATCCTAGGACCTACCACGATTTTGCCTTGGAGGATGTATGCTCATTCAAACCCAGTGAGACAAAGATCCAACACCTCCTCCCTGTGGGGTGGCTGGCCGCCCAGCAGTTAAGAGGAACCTGTATTTTCAGGCGTTTGAGCTTCAGAATTGTGGCACAGCTGATGTGCAGATCTATTCACACCTGGTGGACCAACAGCACGGGTGGGGTAGGGTTTTCCTCATGCAGGAAGAAGAGGAAACAGGCCAAGCCTGGGTGCCATGTGAGCACACAGAGGGCTAGGGTCAGAGATGTCCAGGGGGCTGGAGCTGTGTGGAGAGAATGACTGGGAAATGGGAGCAGACTGCAGAGGTCCTTGAGGGAGGTGGGAGGTCAGCATCCTTTGTGGGGCAAAAGAATGGCTGCTGCAGTGCCTAGACTTGGAGAGCCTAGACTGGGTTCTGGGGCAGGTCGTGGAGCTGCCAGCCTGAATGCTAACAGTTGGGCCTACCCACAGCCCTTGGAGAACCAGGCCAAGGTCAGCTGGGTGCCTGCAAGTGGGCATGTGTGATTCAAAGCCTGAACTGGGAACACCTTCTGATTTTAACAGCCTGACATTTGCTTTGCGCCAGTTTGGTGTGAAGTCCCTGACCACCCTTCTGAACACAGAGAAATCAGTGCACTGACTAGAGATGTCTGCTCCCTTGACTCCTCCCCAGATTGCGGTACCCACTCACTTCTGTCCCCCACCGCAGGTTCCAGGGTGACAGCCGCCTGGAGCAGTCAGCCTGTTACCACCATTGCGTAGACGAGAACATTGAGAGGAGAAATCACTACTTAGACCTCGCCGGGATAGAAAACTACACGTCCCAGTTTGGGCCAGGTAAGAGGCTCCCGCTGCAGGAGGCGAATGTGGGCAAGGTCTGGATGCGCCAGGCTGGGTGGTGGCCGCTGTTCTCCTGGGCTGGGGGAGCTGTTATGGAGTCAAAGATGCCAACTGTAAGAACATTTTCAAGCCAGGCGCCAATGGTTCACGCCTGTAATCCTTGCTGCTCAGGAGGCTGAGATCTCAGGATCACAGTACAAAGCCAGCCCAGACAGAAAAGTAGAGGTATGGCTCAAGTGATAGAGCGCCATTCTCGATTGGAAAAGCTAAGCAAGAGCTTGAGGCCCTGGCCTTGACCCCAGAACCTGAGGTTTGAACCCCCCCCCAAATCAAAATGAAAGTAATCCATGCACAAAGTTAAACATAATCCAGTACTGCCTGAGGGCTTAGAACACAAAGAAAACCACGGTTCCTTGTCCATCCATCCCAGCCCAGGTCCAAGCCTTGCTTGGATGTCCCTTGGTCATTTCACCCAGGGAAAAAACTGCTTCCTGTCCATCCTCCACATTGTGGACCTCTTGTTAAGCTAATTTTACTCACCCAACTCCCCTTTCCCTCCCTCTTGGTGCATTTAATTTCTCTATATTTCCACCAGAAAGCTTACAGCTCTTCCTCAGCCTTCTGATCCATTGGTTATTAGTATTCATTGCTGTCAATATTTCCCAGCTCCCTCCCAGATGAGAGCTACTCTTTCTGAAGACTCACCTCGCCCCAGCTCTTCCCAGGGCAGTGGGGCAGTGGCTTTTATCCATCCTGGTGGCCTGGGGGCAGGGTGATCTGGGGTGCAAGCCCAGCACGCAGTAGGTGCTCACTAAATGTTGTTGAATTGATTCCTAGGCTCCCCTTCAGTGGTCCAGAAGTCAGAACTGCCCCCTCGCACCTCCAACCCTACCCGGTCTCGCTCCCATGAGCCAGAAGCCATCCATGTCCCCCATCGGAAGCCCCAAGGCACAGACCCGGGCTCTTTCCACTTCCTTGACACCCCATTCGCCAAGGTCTCAGAGCTCCAGCAGCGGCTCCGTGGCACCCAGGACGGGAGCAAGCACTTTGTGAGGTCCCCCAAAGCCCAGGGCAAAGGCATGGGTGTGGGCCATGCTGCCAGAGGAGCCAGAAGCAAGCCTCCCTTGGCACCCTCTGTCCCTGCAATGTCCCCCACTGCCCACCTGGCCACCAGCCCAACCCTCCTTCCTGTTCTGGCACCTCTTGGGCACAAGAAACACAAGCACCGAGCCAAGGAGAGCCAGGCTGGCTGCCGGGGCCTGCAGGCACCACTGGCCACAGGTACCGTGCTGGGGCGGGAACACATGCGAGAGCTGCCTGCCGTGGTGGTATACGAAAGCCAGGCTGGGCAGGCAGTCCAGAGACACGAACACCACCATCACCATGAACATCACCACCATTACCACCACTTCTACCAGCCCTAGAGCCCCCGTCCCCGGGCCCTATCCGCCATATGAAGGACCCTCCCCAGACCCCCTGGCGTTGTTATTCTATTAATTATTGTTATTATGACGATTATTGTTATTAATAATTATTGTTACTCCACTAATATTTAGCTAGCCTTCATGTAGAAGATATATGGAAACACAGAACTAAAACTTTTTATTTATATGTCGTGGGGAATGCATAACTCATCCAAGAAGTGACTCTGGGTTTAGAAGGGGCCTGTAAATGGCAGAGGCATCCTTAGGGGGCCCCTTGAGCTGTGGAGTCTACATGGATCTTCCCATCTTCCCCTAGTGCCATGGGAGCCCTGGGGCCAGTCTCTGGCCTGGGCCTTCCCTGGCCTGGCATCAGAGACCCTCAAGATCTCCAGAGGACAAACAGCTGCTACCTCGTAGTGTTGTTCTGGTTTGATTTTGCCCTTAATTGACTGTAATGTGCTACAAGGGATTTCAGCGGACTGCCAACACACCACCTCCCTGCCACTGCGTTTTTATGTCCCAACCTGAAAACTTTAGGAATCTTTTCTGGCGTTACCTTCCCTACCTATCCAGTGGGATGACGTCGCTGGCCCAAGCCAGCCCCATCTCTCCTGTTCTGCGCTCCATGGAAACATCCCCCTCCTCCACTCCCCCACCCCTCTCTGCATCTGGAAGACCCACCCATTAAGGACTGTCTCTGAAACCAGCCTTCTCATTTTGGAAACCGTTAGAAAGAACCAACCTCATAAACAAGCATGGTTTTCCAAGGTTGTGTGGTATTGGCTGTGATGAGAGGGTGGAAGCCTCAGGTTTTACCAGCTGTGAATATGTGCCCACCTTTGTGGTTCTCTGAACAGTCTTCTGCATCTAGAGGTAGATGCCACCTACTGTGTCTCTGTATCTTTCTAGAAATATATGTTCTCAGGTATCTTTGCTGGCACGTAGAAACCAGTGGTCAGGCTCTCTGGCTGCTTCTGGAGCCCAGATGTGACACTGTGTGTCTCCTGGGGTGCTGGATGTCTGTCAAGTACACATAGTCACCACCCTGTGAGTAGTGGTCTTTCCTGGAGGGTTTAGAGGATACAGACTAGGAAGAGGCCTTTGTGGGTACAGAAGATTGGAGGAGGATGGGGACAGTGGCCAGAGGGGGATCCCAGGGTCAGTGTCCTTAGCAGGGCTAAGCTTTGTTTGACCAGGACCTGGGGAGACCAGGGAAAGGTCCACTGTTAATCAGTTGGGATTCCTACAAAATCCAGATCCCTCTCAGACTAGGTTGTCCTGGGTGCCACTCCCCTCCCCCTAGCCCCATTAGGGGCGAGGGAGAAGCATGGAGTATCTTTTACACACGGGACTAAGAGTTTGAGGAAGCATTTTCACTCCAGGGATGCAGCCAGCTGTGAAGCCTTCAGGAAACGCACATCCTCGGCTTCTTTCCCACGTGCTCCGAAGGCACCTCTGGCTAGGGAGCCCCAGAGTGTGTGGGTGCAGGTTCCATGGGCACTCTTGAGAACCAGATGAATTAAAATCTCCTTCCTATGGCTTTCTTGCTGAGAATCCCTTCCCACAGCCTGCATTTGAATTGGGGTTGAACATGGTTGGAAGGCAGTTCCTCCTGAAGGCTGTGGGCATGAGTTGTGTCAGTTTTATTCAGTCCTGCTGAGCCACCTCGGCAACCTTCAGGGGGCAGGCAGTGGAAGCCCAGTGTCCTAACGCTCAAAGAGGTTAGTAACTCCCCAGAGACTACACAGTAAGTGGCAGGGCTGGGTTCTAGTATTTTCCATGGAATTCCCTTAGCCACTATGAAAAGGGTGTAACCACTGGTTTGGGACTTCCCTTGCTTGGGATTGTGGCTTTCTTCTGTTCAGTCAGGATCCAACTCAAAGTAGCTATAATCAAACCAGAGGAAGGCAGATGGCACTGTTGGAGGTGACAAAATCAGGTGTGAAGCTGAGCGGAGCTGATTCTTAGCCCTCCCTTTTAGGACTCAGACTTGTACCTCCAGCCAAGTTGGGGTTCTAGCTATTAGCATTCTGAGGAAATTCCACTGAACAGTTCTGATTGGCTGGGCAGGTACCCACTCCCCCTCCTCCAACCAATCACCATGGCTCATCTGGGGTCACAAATCTATTCAGTAGGGGATAAAGTCAGCGCCAGAAGGCCACAATGAACATTGACCAGGAGTTGGAGCCCCTGGTTTGACTGCAGCTCCTCAGCATACACACCCCCAACTCCTGCTGCCAGGAAGTGCCAGGTGTTGCCTCCTGCCCTACCCCCGATAGGATTCTTTTATTTCTTGGTAATGGATTTACCCAAGTTTTTAAAAAATATTTACAAAATACAGCAACATGTACACATGTAAGATTAGATAGTGTGAAAATCCATACAGTAAGAAATAAACTTCCTGTCATCCTACCCCAGCAGCATGATGCCAGCTTCTGGGTGCCTTCCGGGACCAGTCACATACTGTGGGGTGTGCTGAGCACCGCCCGCTGTGCCCTGCTACCCAGGTTCCAGTCCTGGGTCCCTGGCTTCATCCTGCTGTACTTCAAGTGCAGTCAGTGCTGGCCCTCAGTTTCCCCGTCAGTGGAAACTACCCATGTTATCTATCCTTCATTCTCGGAATAAATGCATTTATATAAAATAACTCCTTGTTTACATTTGGTTAATTTAGGCACAAAGTTTGAAACAGAATACTGCAGAGCGATCCCTAAGCCCTCCATTCACCATTTACAAATGCTGACATTTTGTACTATTTCTTTCGGATCTATTTTTGAGAAAGAAAACCCTGAAATTGTTGCTTAATCCCCTTCCCACCCCACCGTTTTATTTTTATTCAAGCAGCATAGCAGTCGTGCTTAGGCCCTTTTCTCTCCAACTGAATATATTTGGAGACTTCCCTGACTCGTTGAGCTCCCCCCCCGCCCCCCAACAGCTGCTTAGCTTTTGCCTGCTTCCAGGCACTGTCGCCTCCCATCAGGCTCATGGGTCATCTCTCATCCTAGGCCGTGACAGCCTAAAGGTCCTTGTACAGGGCTTGTCTTGGTGTCTATGCACATTGAGAGGAAGGAAGGAAGCAAGGAAGGGAGGGAGGGAGGAAGGAAGGAAGGAAGGAAGGAAGGAAGGAAGGAAGGAAGGAAGGGGAAAAGAAGAAAAGCACATTAGGAGCATCCATGTTCCTTGTTGAGGTTTTGAGTGTGTTTTCCTGCTGGCTTGTGAGGTGAGAAGTTTAGTCCTGTTTACAGATCTGAACTCCAAGAACAGCTGCTGCTTTCCTGGCCCCTGAACTCAGAGCCTGTGAGTATTATGGGGCCTGGAGAAGTTACCCGGAGCTAAGGTCAGGACTTGTGGCTTTGAAGGCATGTGTGCATGTGCACTTGGCATGAGCTGGTCAGCTGGGAGATGTGGGCTCCTGCTGCTGCTTCCTGGCACTGAGGACCTGTGGTGTGTTCAGTCCCTAGAGCAGCATGGTCTGTTCTCATCTCAGGAGCGTGGGAGTCGGTCCCCAGAAGTCCTCAGGGCTGGAATACAACATGCCAGCCATGCCAATTGAACATTTTGGCACAGGGACCAGCTAGGAGCAGGTTCATTGGCTTTCTCCCATTTTCTTAGCATTCAGCTCTCAAATCATTGCTGGATCCCAAAGAAGGCATCTACAGAGGTGTGAGGAGAATGGGGACCAGCCTAAATCTCCTCCTGGAAGCCATTCAGTACTCTAGGAATCAATGTACTACTCCATGTCAGTGGGTTGTGAAGATCACCCATTGCCCTCAGCTTCATCTCTACACAGAAAGGCTGCCCCACCACCCAGCAGATGCCCAGGGGATGCAGGTCTCCAAGGACCCCGAGATAATCTTGCTCCTTGGCCAGTCCTGTGATACAACCACCCTCCGCAGACTCAGCATTCCCCTTTTTCTGGATATGAGCAGGACTGGGCTCAGAAGGTCGAATACAGAGGCCTGCCACTCTAGGGACTGAATGCAGCACAGGTCCTCAGTGCCACCGATTTGGTTGACATCTTAAAGCCATGTCAGGGATACCTTCTCACTCTGCAGCCCCACCCTGCATCTGGGGCTCTGATCTGGTTTTTTGTCTCATTACCTTCAAGGCCAGTGGATCATCAAGCTCAGCCTCTTTCACCTGGGGTGGTTTTCTCCTGCAGAGGGCTTTGTGTCTTCAGCATATCCCCCTGCCCTGGTGCCGGGTCTCCAGAGAAACTGTGGAGCTGCCTTCCACTCCCCGCCCCCTCCCACTCTAGAATCCTCATGAGTTTAGTGTGTAAGTCTAGCAGAGAGACAAGCAGATCTCTACCTACAACATAGGAGAGTTTGACATGGGCCAGCCGTTGGCCAGGGGCGAGAAGGGCAGAGTGGGCCCCACACACCAGTGACTCTCAATCTGTGATGGCTGAATTCACAGTCACCTGGGAGAGTTTTCCAGAGACCAATTCCCAAGCCTACCTCTGACGATGCTGACCTTCAGGTCCTGGGTGTGGCTCGGGGATTTTAAAGTCTTTCAGCCTCCCACGTGGCTTCCTGTGGAGCCAGCGGCATTGACTGCAGATGATCTCAGCGGAAAGACCTGAATTCAAAGCTGGAGGCATCTCCCTAGGCACCTGGTTACCGAAGACCCCACACCTAATAGGATTGATTGGGTGGGCTTGGGTGTAGAGCACAGGACCAATGCCTTATTTATGTGTTTCTTAAGATACTGTTTCTCTCTGTAGCCCAGGCTGACCTTTCAAGACTCTCTTGCCTCTACTTAATTCAGTGTATGACAAGGCCAGTGCTTTTAATAAGCTTCCTGCCTCCAGGAGCTGGTATTGCAGCTAAGCCTATAGACCTGTCTGAGAAGCCCAGAAGTCTGTGCCTGGGCCCAAGCAAGGCCCAGCCTCTGTGAGTATGTACACTGAGGTGGCAGGAGAGGCAGAGGAAGCCTCCTGCTCCTGCCCCACCAGAGACCTCCCAAAACATAGGTGTTGGGGTAAGTGACCATGACCGCACCAGAGGATGGGGGGACGTGGTGACACCTCCTCCCCTCACTATAGTGCTACATGCACCCCAGGGAATCAGATCTTCTGAGGCCAGATGGCTTCCAACCAGGGTCACCCAGGTGGTTTCTGGGTGTAGACCACCCAATCTCTGCCTTGGCTCAGGGTGCAGCCCTGAAAATAGAAAATTAGATTTGATCACTCACCTCCTGAGAGTGTCTCTCTCCAGCCTTTGCATTTGGCCTATGGCCCTGGGCTGAAGCCAGCCATGGGGAACAGCTATCCGTGGCCCTGCTTGGCTGTACTGCAAACTCAGGCTAGGTTTGGGGGTTATGTGTGGACAGACCCTTCAGAGAGCCCTTCCAGTCTCCTTTCAGGGAGAGAGGTGGGCCAGGAGGGCCCTAGAGGCTTAGGAGAAGCCCTAAGGTACAAGCTGCCCAAGGGCCTGCCAGGGCCAGAACCGAGTGTGGGTGCAGAGCGACTCAGGAGCCCCAGACCTCACCTGGACCTCAGGACAAGAGCAACGCTGCACAAAGCAGGATGCTGCCACTTGAGCTTTGAGGTCCCCTGCTTCACTAAAATAACTCTTTTTCCAGATATTTCTGATGGTAAAATTCAAAATGAGGTCATCAAAGATGACCTATGCTGTTTTCTTTCCAGGGTGGCCATTCTTCCTGTAGGCACCTTAGCAGGTGCCCAGCAGGGAGCAGACAACAGGCTTTGTTGAGGATCCCAACTGGTCCTGAAGTTGACCTTCTTCCTGGGCCAAAGCCCCTGCAGCCAGGGTGCCTCCTGGGGTAAAAGCAAGGGCTGCTTCCAGCAAAGGTGGGGAGGGTGGCTGGTAATAAATACAAGAGCGGATGAGATGGGGTAAGAGGCAGGTAGGAACAGTGGGCATTGCCATCCTGCACTGTCCGTCCATGACTCCAGCCTGTGAGTCCTGCCTGGAGGGTTTTACATATACAGAGTGAAAACATTGCAAATAAAACTTTGGAAACACACTGTGTTGCTTTTTTAATTTCACTAAATATGTACTTAACAACAACAACAAAGAATAGAAAAGAACCAAGCACCAATGGCTCAGCCTGAAATCCTAGTACTCA